CTGGGGAGTAATTCTGGACAAAACGTGGCAAGGGAACACTGCCCGCAGGGATGATTTTGCGGGTGACGTTATTCACAAAATAAAAACCACGATTTTCAAAACGCTGGTAAAATGTGAGAAACAAACAGTGCGGCGGTGTTTTCAAAAATGTCGCAGCACTTATAAGCTGCCCCAAATGGGCCCTATATATATTTGTGTGTGTGTGTGTTTGCGCTCACGCAAATGTGGCCTTTTGGAAGGCGGCCTAGGCGTATGTCCCCTCTGTCGTTCGAATTTCCCCGGAGTCGAATTAGCATATATGGGGAACCAGTATATGGGAGATTATTTAGTATGTCCTAAATACTGATTCCTCATTTCCACCCCTCCAGTAGATCTGCCTAGACATTAGTTATCACGAATTCAATCCAAAGATATACCCTAAGTCAAGGCTCTACCTTCTGACTGTCTATCCTCCCCAAAGAAGAAGCTGGAAACGACTGCTAATGACACAGATGAGAGTTTTCCATCCAGAACAAAAGAAGTGAAATCGGTTGGGATGAGGTGAAAGAGCAGCGGGAGATTTCCTAAAAGAAGGCCCAACGATTGTCCTCATCCGTGAAAGTTTAAAAAATAATCCCTTTACCCGGAGCCTCGCCCTCTTGACTTGATATGTCAAGAAGACTACAACCAATAGTTGATCACTTTTTGTCAGTGGTAATGTCAATCTCTTCTTTTTTGCATCATAGGAAAGGTGCAGAGAAGAAAACATTTCAAGATATTTCTAATTGCAATTTTGGATTATATAATATATCGCAGTGTTTGAGTTAAATATCACTTTTTATGCTCACTTCGTATATTCCAATTTTTTGAAGTTGATCCAAGCTGATCTCCTTTTTGTTCTTTCCGGGAAAGATCCGCTCTCAAATCAATCTCAAGTTTTCCCATGAGCCTCAAACAATTGAGAATTTCATTTTTGTGGGAAAGGTGAGCGATGGCTCGAGCGTGTAATGCATCCTACTGCTCCATGAGGGTCGACGCTTGTTGTAAGATGCTTTTGAGTCCCCTGCCCCTAAGAATTCATCAGTAAGCACAGGCGCTTGATGGGAGAGATGGGAGATGGCCGGAAAATTCCATGATTTTTGGGCTCTTAAATTGAGCACAAAAAGTGAGGGAGGTGGCTAGAGAATGGCTTGACTAAGCTTAGGAAGGCTTTGAGGATTACTAGAGACAATGTGGTAGAGTTTCCCCAAGTTTTTGTGCATTCTTTTTTATTTGCCCATGAGGGAGTGGTTTTTAAATAGGGTGGAAAGGGTGGCCACCAGGGCTGGCCAGTGGGTGCAATCAATTGCTTTTGTGGAGGGAAGAAAGGTGCAAGTAACCAATCAGGTTGAGAAAGCTTGGATGAGTCAAATTTTGTTCATATGGTGGAGATATCGCTCTTAGACTGGGGTTTTCTGATGACTTGGTCGGTCGGCCAGGCCAGAGCTGGTGGCTAGCTGAGTTAAGGGAGCCAGAGGAATGCTTAATGGTGATTTGTTTGGTGGTTTGATGGCTGATGGTAAGGATATATTTGTTTTAGCCATTTTAGGAGGAAATCCCTTAATTCAAGGGACCCATGGTCAATGGCTCAACTAGGTTGGGCTAGCTAGATCTAGCTTGGTTCATAGGGCTCCAATGCTAGTTGTGGTGACCATAGTTTGGTCAATTTCAATGAATTTAGTCAAGTTTGGGGCTTGGTTTCAAATTTGGCCTTTTGGTTTGAATGTGGGTCTAGGTTGGGTTTGGGCTAAGACTTGGGTAAAGATATTGACCAAATTTATGTGATGATTGTCATGAGAAATTTGGAAAAGGAATTTGGCGATGTTAAATTGATTTGGAAGTTCAATTTAGTGGAATTTGGCTCATGGTAAATTTTGGGACATTTGGGCTAAAATTGAACTTGGAGTGGGCAAGGGTTTATGCTTGGCTAAATTGATTGCTCAAATGGGTTCAATGGATTGTGATGAAGTGTTTTGTATATCAATTGGATTAAAAATATGAAGTTATCAGGTTCAATTTGGTGACATTTGGATTTTAGGGCAAAAATGGAGATTTTGACTTAGGTGGGATTTAGGTGAGGATTGAGTTTAGTTTAAGGCCAATTGAGGGCTCAAATTGATCAAGGGGAATGCTATAAGGAGTTTAGAGCTCAAAATTGAGGAAATTAGTTTAGTTATGGGGTCCAACTTCTGGAAATTTGAGCAAATGGTCAAAATTGGGAATTTTAAATGGGCTTGGAATTTAGAGCTTGAATTTAGTTTGAAATTAGGTTCAATTGGGCTTCAATTTGGTTTCAATTAGAATTGGGCATGATGAATTTTGATTTAGAATTGAAATTGAGGAAGATTGAAGTTAAATTAGAGTAAATTGGGGGTGATTTAGGGCAATTGGGCCTTAAAGGGAAAAATTGGGATTTTGGTTAAAAGTGGTGAAATTGGACTTTATGAGTGGCCAGGATTGGTTCTGAAAGTATTTGAAATAATTTTTGGAGTTTTTCAAAAAATTTGGTTCATGATCCCGACTTAATGCTTATGCACAGTATAGCAATAGTTCTGATGGTATTTTTCACTTATATTTTTATATTTTGCAACAAAACTAAAAACTTGATCCTGAAGAAAAATAAGAATTTAACTTTCTAATTTATATATATTTATATTAGGATACTACGCAAGTATACATATCATTATCAAATAATACAGAACTTTTTGATTAAGACCTGAATATCTAACCCACAAGGAAGATTATGCAATATGCACTTTTTAGAAAGTTTTTCTATTTTTTAAAAAGATAATTACTTAAACTAAAAATACTTTTTTGTAGGAATTTAAAATTTAAATATTTTTGGTCTTT